AAGACTTTTTAATTCGAAGATGCAAGAGGTCAAAGATGGATAATTTTTTCAGTCATAGTTTAATATTTCTGTACTCTTGTGAAGTGGCATATAATGAGATAATCGACAAATTCTGTCAATACTTGTTAACAGCCAAACTATAGGTTTCAAATCATGATATAATTTTTCATAAATCTTACAAGAAAAAATTAAATTTTTGTTTACGATATAAAAATGCCTTATTTCTAATCACTTTTTAGATTTTTAACTTACAACTAATACAAATTTGATTAGTCACCGTTTTCCTCTTAAAAAGACACTGCTTTTCAAGATTTAGAACAATTCATTTCGCAGACTGTTATATAGTAGCACAAGTTTTACAATATTTAACGGAGTTAAAGCAAACAATGAACATTTGTTCTAAGTTACCGTACGATTTCATCCGAGAAATTCGACCTCTATCGGTGCCCATTGTGCTTCGAGGGAGTGCAACCTCTGAATACTGTGAATTAAAACTGCGGCTGCCTGTTGTCGACGAAAAGAACTCGTTCAAAATTGAAACATTGTTCCCGCCAGCCTCTTAAGAACGGCCGATATAAGACCTGGCCTTAAGCAACCGCGGAAATAATGGCTTTTTAAATCGGCAAACAGGGGAAGCCCATACAAAGATGGTATTTCATGGCGCTAAGTTGATCTAATGAATTCGTTGAAACATTGATGGGCTTTGGGGAGTATGCCTCCCGGCAGCTCCAACCCCGTACTCTCATGCTAGAACAGTTAAACGTTTCATAGAAAAAAGGGAAAGAAAGAGGGAATATAGGAGAAATACAAACAATGGGCATCATGTTTCACGTTTTTCAGGTTTTTCACGTTTTTATGCGCAAAATTTCTAGTAGCAAAGCGAGAACACGTATACGAACAAAACGGAACAATAAATTGTTTTTTGCAACACCGTGCGTGCTAACCAAACATTTGCTTGCTTTTGCATTCACTATGCCGCTTTCTATTCACTGTACGTTTAATCGTGTTTTCCGCAGAAATACAATTGTCTAGTCGGTTACATCGGGGTTGCGACATATCTGGAAACGACATATTCTTTGCACTTGGTTTATCCGTCGCGAATATGACGTATTCTTGTTTAATTCCCTGCATCTCCTTTCGCAAACATGTTTCTACACCTCAAATATCGCTAGGCTCATCGACTCTATACTCTGTGCAATCTCAAGTATCCGTTTTCAAGTGTCTATATTTCACCCCATTCTTTGTACTTTTTCCATTTCTCTAACAAACTGGAGTTTCTCTATGCCTATCTATTTCGGTGATTCTTATATGAAGTTATAGAAAACGATTGTTAATTAAAGAATTAATACGCAAATAAATAAAGAATTAACAGACTGAATTCTTTATACGTGATTAAAATAACGTGTGTATTTTAAAACCAATATAAACCCACAACGAAGTTACAATTTAAAAACAAAATGAATTCAATCCTCTATAGCTACCATAATTTTGAAATCACACACTGTTTTATCATGTGTTTTTTAATTTCATTTTCATATCATGTTCTGTTGTTTCTCCTTCAATTATTAAATCTTGCTTCAAATTTCACAATAAATTCACGTTATGAAAAGTTGTAAATTCGCTGTTCATTTATATCTAAATATTGCGTTCTCATATTCGCTGGTTTCAAGCTACATCAATAATTCTTAATTTAATAAAATATAAAAATGTGGAACTATAGAACATGAATTCAATGTGTGAAGCAAGATATGAAAATTGCGATGCATCGCCTGCTTGATTAGGAAGGTGAAACTATAGAACAGAATTACAAATATTTTTTAATTAATTTTAGAAACATTGATAAATCAGTATGCAACATAAAAGTTACAGGGAGCTAGTGCGAGTTAGAACATTACCGTAGAGAATTGGTATTTTTACCCATCCTTTAAAACCAGCCAAAATACGTGTGATTAATTCAATCAAGGAATAATATTATTCAGTGCGGTATGTATACACATGTGCCTTAACAAACGCCACGAAATTTCGCCGCTTATCAATGCGAAGAATTGGGTATTTGTCCATTCACTAGTTTTATATATTTCCAATAAGCCGCGCGTATCGGCGGCGATTTTATCTAGGATTTCTTTTTGCCTTATCGGCTCTGGCTCGATAAGCAAATATTTTACCACCCATCACGATCCCACCAAGCAAAATCTCTACAGTTCAAGATTTACGATCTTTTTGCGATGTTTTCTTCACGGTCTAGGACGCTTCGGTAAAGTTGAAAACACCGTTGGAAAAGTATTCCGAAGGACAGCTTTTGAACCGCGTGCTTCGATCAGTACTTGCATCAGTCGAACAATGTATACTATCGTCCATTTTGATACTAGGTAATCCGAAAGTTATTTTTTTTCTTAAGAAGATTTGTGGACGAATAACTGCAAACATTTAACATTAAAGCTTGTAACTACGAAATTTCAATCGAGGAACATAGAATTCAGATCTTGAAGCATATTAAATAAGGTTGTTTATTCTCATCATCTATTTTATACATATTTATGACTTATAACAAAATTCCTTAGATTTTCTTTACTTTTACATCACAATAGTTTACTTTACTTTTACTTTTACAATAGACACTACTTTTCCGATCAACGTTCACTTCTTTAAATCGTTCTTTTATCGTTACAGTAGTGTAATGCAAAGTTACTTGGCTAATTAGATTAGTCGATTAATATACTTCTATTATCGCATTAGAGAATGGATTACGGTTTCATTTGTGACAGATAAGATTTGCGTTCTAAACACATTTTTGTCGGAAAAGTGTAAATAGTTTTCAGATATAATTTTTACACAAATGCGGTGGAAACAATATATTTTAAGCTGGAAAGCCGATATTCCACCAATTTTTTCTCGATTTATGAACCGTATTATAAATCGTTCCCTCCCACCGTACCGCAATCGACTTTCGAAATTAAATACCGTACCAGCAAGCATTATAGGTCTTCGGTTCCGCATCTATGTATTCCGAGGCTATACATATTGCACATGCGATGTATCGATCGATAGCGCCGTCCTTCGGCTAGCGCCCTTTTTACGCGGTTCTCTGCATAAGGATGTAAGCTTCTATGGATTTTCCGCGATGCGTACGAAAAATCAGCAACGCACTTCTTGTTCCGGGATATGACGGTGTAATATTTCAAGGAGCTGTTACAGACACAGACCATCCCTTCACACTGCGATAAAGGAACCTATCCGACCCAGGAATTTGATACTTTAACCCGAGAAAGATAACCTACGTCGCAGAGGCGCCTGCGAAGACTGTTGATTTTTGTTAATTTTTCATAGAGGTCTAGTGATTTAAGTTTAAAATTACTTAAAATATAAAAAAATATAATATAAATGCATTTTATTTTTACAATAATGCCAAACCTTTAAAATGACTAGATTAACTTAAATAAATATCCATTGTTAGTATAAAATTGACGCCTTAGAAAAGCATGCGCCTCTGAAGCGTATGGTTATCTTTTACGTACGTTTTCATATGGTTATCTTTCTAGGGTTAAAT